TGAAAAGTAGATGCACAGATTTTTGTCATTTGGTTATCAATAATTACATCAAAAGACTGAGAAACTGAAAGACCATAGGATTTTATCTACGACAGTAGCATCCATTACTTCTCTTTTGTAACTTTTCCATTTAGCACATGCCTTCGAGATTTTCTTGAAGCCTATCACTCAGGCTCAGTTATGGTACTCTTTTTTTTGGAGGCCTTTTGCTATAGGGCACATGCGCTTGCCAGAAAGACAGAGAGAGACAGAGAGACAGAAAGTGAGAAATCATCCCCCAGGGGGGATGGCCACGCCGCAATCCCTTCTCCTCCATTCTCCTCTCGGGATCTTGGGCATGCTCGCACACACATCCGGCATGAGTTTAAGCCACCGGGTCCAGGACTCGAACCATGGTCAACTACATGGGAATCCAGGGACATAGCCATTATGCTAACTATTGGTCCCAGTTATGGTACTCTTCAGAAAGTGAAATACTGGCACACTGTGACCACTGCAATTTGGGTATTCGTTACATACAAGTAAGTAGAATGTGTTTTGTTTTCTTAGAATATGAGGTAACACATATCCATCTGGCTGCAGTCACGTATGTGTGTGTATGTGTGTGAGCTCATGTTCGCACGTGCACACACATGCAATATTCTCAAGCAGAGTAAAGTTCTCTAACACAACTTTAATGACAGACATGAGGCACTCAGAAGAACGCTCCGTAATTAAAAATATTCGGGATTTGGGACCAGCAGTTAGCATAATGGCTATGTCTCTGGTCTCCCATGTAGTCGACTGCGGTTCGAGTCCTGGACCAGGTGGTTTAAACTCCTGCCAGGCGTGTGTGTGTGCGTGCCCAAGATCCTGAGAGGAGATTGGAGAAGGGATTGCGGTGTGGCCATCCCCCCTGGGGGGTGATTTCTCGTTTTCTGTCTCTCTGTCTCTCTCTGTCTGTCTGGCGAGCACATGTGCCCTGTAGCAAAAACCTCTCAAGCAAAAAAATTTTCGGGATTTGAGCTCTAGATGAAAGATACTGCACTGTGGGTGGGAGAGCTAGGGTTTTTTGGAGATTCCAGGAATAAGTGGTTGGTGGGTATTGTCTATCACTTTGACTTGAGTCTGTGTTATTCTTGCCACATTTCCCTTTCCCTCAGATTATTCTCATTCCTTTCCATAACTATTCTAAAATTTTCTCAAAACTCCAAACTCTCCTGCCACACAATGCCATACTTACAAGCTGTAAAACCTCTCATTGGGTAATAAAAGACTTTTAATTAAAGATGGTGCTTTGTTTCAATGATTTCCTCATTAAAAGTGCTGTAGCAATCGACTAGATATGACAAAATCAATGATTGCAACATTTTTTTCCTTAGAAATTCTGTGGGATGGCTTTGAAGTGTTGGAATGGAATTGTACTGTATCAAGTATGAACTTGGAGAAGTTAGCCACTAAAATGCACATTCACACAGAATGTTCTTGGTCTGTTACAGTCTACTCAGCCAGAAATAAGAGGGCATCCAGACATAGCCACATTTATTGTGCTTTATTGATTAAGTTGGTGGGCATATGGGGGGCTGGGAGAACTCATGTCTCTCAAAAACCCGCAGCCCAGAGTGAAAGGAGAAAGGAGCTTATATAGGCCAAAACCGCACAATCATGTCAGGATGACTGAGGAGTCATGAGGACAAAGAGCAGTGGGCTTGAAAGGGTAGGGGGTAGGGTTTTACAATATAAGCATCACAGAGGCAGACCAAGCAGGTAGGCAGGTTAATCATCCCTGAGGGTATATTCCATCTCTACCCAAACACAATGGAATCTCAGTATCTCTATGGCACTGGGCAAGGTCCTGCGATTGGACCTTATCTTAAGGCAACCAGAAGGAGTGGGGTTTTAAGGACAATAGGAATGTCAATCACTCTATTTATTCTTAGGCAAAGAAAGAGAATGCAAGTTTCTAGTTATAGGAATTTAACAGTTTATAATGGAGGTGCTCCTCCAAGATGGAGTCACTCCTGCTTTACTCTGCCAGCACTGGTGGCATAAGACTGGAATTCATGCTCAGTGGATTTAAAACAGCCCTGAATATTTTACATCCACCATGACTTAGTCATTAAACAAATTCCTTCACATTTCCTGAATAAGACCTTCTAAGTTAGTGTATATGTGATTAGGAAGATACATGGTCTTGACTGATATATCAGAAACCCCAAGGGGGCCGGCAGGTGGTGTGGTGGTTAAGGTGCTGGACTCCCACATGGCTGACAGCAACTGAGTCCCAGATTCGGCAGCTTGAAAATCCTACGAGGAGAATGGAGGAGAAGGGATTGCAGTATAACTATCTTCCCTAGAGGGGATTTGTCACTTTCCTTCTCACTGCCTCTCTAGCCTGTGCATATGCTTTATGGGAAAAAGCTAGAAAACAAAACAAAACAAAACAAAACCCGGGGAACAGATATTCCAATTTGTTTCCTGGTGAGAGATGCCCCTCACTCTGAAAATCACTGTGAGGAGACAGGTTTCTGATGAGACTGTGCTGTCCATCTCAAAACTGTTAGTTAGGGTTGACAAGTTAGAAGCAGAATATATTCCTAGCTTTTCCATTTTTAAAACTTTCCTTAAGGTCCCAAAGGGACTTCTACATCTAAGAGTTGTGTCTTTCATCCATCTTTTTGATACAATTATATGCTTGTAAATTTCTTCTCTCATAAATATTTAGAGAAGCTAAAGACCATTTCCAGTTATATTTCATTAACATGCACTGTGGCGGTTCACCAAATTAGCTAACCTCTCACATTAAAATGTGTCTGTCTGGAAAAGGATATGGTTAAAAAAGGGTGTTTTTTTTTTTTTAAAAAAAAACCACTCCAATAAATCGGCCATCTGTTTTAAAGCTTCTGATACACTCTGTATCTTAAAGCAAATTTCTGGAAGACCCAATTTATTTGTGGATGGCTCCTACAAAGTAATCAAACTATAGCCATGTTGTCTACAGTGCTGGTAAATTTCTACATAAAGTGAGACTATCAAACAGCAGCATACTTGGGTCATCAAAGAATGCTTTTATGAGCTGTATTGGCATCACGCCTTTGGGTTACATTGAAAATGTAAAAAAGCACAGCCTTTCAATGTCCACTACGATATTTCCTCTACAGGGTTATAAAACAACTGACTGCTCACTAGGTCACTCACCAGTCCCCATTTAATCTGGGACCTTTGAGAGGTGACTAAGGTCGGACAAAGTTACCGAGTGGGGTCCCCATGCTTGAGTTCTAGTGGGTTCATGAGGAGAGGGGACAAGACAGGCAGAGCCATGCTTTCCTCCACACGCTTACCCCTGCCCTGTTAATGTCATGATGCAACAAGACCTGACCGGGGTGAGCACCATGCCCTTGGACCTCAGCCTCCCAAAGCTCTATTCCCTTAAATTCTCCAGACTCGTACATTTCTGTTCTGAGCAATAGAACGGATTGGACAACCTCCTTTGTTCTGTCCACCAGGAAAAGCAATACAATTTGTCATTTTAATAAAATATCTAGGTAACACATTATGTCCTATATATCGCTATATTTATATATCTACCTATATAACTGTATCTATAACTTTCTCCCAGTCTTGAATTGCCCATTTAATTTATATTTTCTCTGGTCTTAAATTTCACTTTGTGGTTTAGTTATGATGATTCAAAATCTTTGTAGAACCAGATAAGTTAAAAGTAAAGAAAGGCAGCATGACAGTTTAGAGGAATTTCTCCCCCTTCATTCATGAAAGTAGTACTATGTTAAAATACAATATCTGTATAAACCCTATGTATTTTTAATGCTTATCCATAAAGTGAGAATAAAACTACTCCTCAGACACTAAACTCTGAGGAAATAATAAAGAATAGTAAGCCAAAAAGAAGAAAACATTTAAAAAAATTTTTGATGAAAGTGACTACCTATAAACAAAAAAATTACATTTACGTAAGGCTTTCTATACAATAGTAATCATTAAGGAGGAAGAGCCTATAGGAATTATTTATTACTTTAAACATTGTAAAATTCCTTTTTGTTAAAAATTAAAATTCTACATGAAGTTAGTTTTTTGTATCTGCATTTTATTAGATATGAAATTTTGGAGGCAATCTAATTACACACTTTTCTTTTTCTACAGGACTTGAAGTAGTTTGGGTTCTGATTTAACTACACGGTTCTCTCAAATTCTTCTTAACTTGGGAAGTATAGGCAAATTTTTTTTTTTTTTTGGAGAGGTTTTTGCTATAGGGTACATGTGCTCGCCAGGCAGACACAGAGAGACAGAGAGACAGAAAGCGAGAAATCACCCCTCAAGGGGGATGGCCACACCGCAATCCCTTCTCCTCCATTCTCCTCTCTGGATCTTGGGCACGCACGCATATGTGCCTGGCGTGAGTTTAAGCCACCGGGTCCGGGACTCGAACCGCAGTCGACTACGTGGGACTCCAGCGACATAGCCATTACGCTAACTGTTGGTCCTCTAGGCAAATTTTTTTATTGGAAAAATTATTAAGCAAATTATGAACTCAACATTATTAGTCATTTACATATAGATTTGTTGCCTCACTCAAAACATCTTCAGTGACTAGTTTCCCAATGATACTGTTTTTTTCCTACACTTCTTTGTATGTCACTAATAGTTTTAGTAGCTATTTTTGAGGGAGTACTTACTATTGATAAATTCTGTGAAAGACGAGATAAAGACGAGGGGCCAGCAGGTGGTGTGAAGATTAAAGTAGCTGGATCCGACATGGCCAACTGACTGGTTCAAGTCCTGACCCAGTGGCTTCAAAGTCATACTAAGTGCGTGTGTATGTATACCCAAAATCCTGAGCGGAGAATAAAGGAGAAGGGCTTATGGTATAGCCATCTCCTGAGTGGGGTGATTTCTCACATATCCTCTCTCTGGTGAGCAAACACAGTGGCAAAAACTAAAAAAAAATCCAAAAGAAAACAAAACAAAAACCTAAAGATGTTATTACCTTATGTTCTTCTTACCTTTGAACTGCAAACAGCTATGTTAGCGGGAAGCTGAGAAAACTGCTTCAACTCAAAGACATCACGTGCCGCCCATCGGCTCATATGATTTTCAGCTTTGCTTGATCCAATCACATTCTGGTTTGAGTGAACGTAAGCCACTTCTTGAACACCATCTAGAAGGTAATTGATACTTATTAAGTGTTATATCATTATAAAGCAATAAGGTTCACGTATACTTTTAAAATTTCCAGTGTAATGGGACCAGCAGATGGCATCGTGGTTATGTTACTGGATTCCCACAAGGTTGATCGAAGTTTGAGTCCCGGACCAGGTGGCTTCAAACTCAGGCTGGGCACACATGCCCAAAATCCCGAGAGGAGACTGCAGGAGAAGGGACTGTGGTGTGGCCATCCTCTTGGAGTGATTTGTTTTCTGTCTCTCTCTGTTTCTCTGGCAAGCGCACATGCTCTAGGGCAAAAATCTTAAATAATAATAATAATAATAATAAAAAATCCAGTATTACACTAAAAACAGATTAGTATTGCTTTATTTATTTATTTTTTTAGTTTTTTTTCTATAGGGCACATGTACTCACCAGAGACAGAGACAAAAAGCAAGAAATCACTCCCTAGAGGGGATGGTCATCCCACTATCCCTCCTCCTCCATTCTCCTCTCAAGATTTTGGGCACGCATGCACACACATGAGTTTTTTAAGCTTTCTGGTCTGGGACTTGAACCACATTCCACTACATGGGAGTCCAGTGATACAACCATTACACCATCTGCTGGTTCCATGATTGCTTTATTTCTTTTCCTTTTTTAAGAGAGATTTTTGCTATAGGGTATGTATGCTACAGCAGAGACAGAGAAAACAGAGAGAGACAGCAAGAAATCAGCCCCCAGGAGGGATGGCCATGCTGTAATCCCTTCTCCTCTCAGGATTTTGGGCATGCACACACACATGCCCAATGTGAGTTTTAAGTCACTGGGTCTGGGACTCCAACTGAGGCCGACTATGTGGGAGTCCAGTGACGTAACCATTAAGGCTATCTGCTGGTCCCATGACTGCTTTATTTTTAAGCCTCAAGAAAAGCATATAGAGTTTTGGGGCCAGTCCTGGCAGCCCCGC